ACGTATATTAGTTATTGTTCTATTCTTTTGTTAAGGTTTTCTTTTTGTAAGTTTGTTTATTTCGGTTTTCATTTTTCTGTTTCATTAACTTATTTTTCCTCATTTATCTGTCTAGTTATCTTTTCTGTGTATGCATAACATATCAGCGGGGTGTGGAAGAGTTGTATTTATTACCGGCAATGGGATTGAAATGCAAAGAATTTGGAGCTTTAAGAAATTCTAACTGGGTGAATTATCACTGTTCCGTCTCGTGAAAGAGTGGTCTTGAATTTAATTTCGAGTCCCAAGTTTTTCTACTGCTCAGATTTCTTATTCGTCACTATTGTTCCTATATCCTGTATCTTCTTTTTCCGTAAATTCTTTATGTGATGTCAGTGCAAAGATATTTTTTGTTCTTTGTTTATTTTTTTTTTTTGTATCCTTTTGTTTTCATGTATTGTTTTGTTCCACTGCTGTAGTTTTAATGATGATCCCTCCTTCTAGATCTTTTTCAAGATTTGCTAGCAGCGGGTGAAATTATCACGAACAGTTTTTAGTACTGTTTTTTGAGATTGTCAACCTTATTCCAGGGGATAAGAATGAGAGATCAGACTAATGCTTTCATTTGGTAATTTAGCAATCTCTGTACGTGAGTGAGTTATTTTATCGTACAGTTTAAAGAGGGGTTTTTGATTCTTTAATAACCATCGGTTGTTTTCTGGGTTCTAATGATTTTCTGTTTCTTGTGCTTCATGACTATTATCACTTAAGAAATAATCTAAACTATCAATTTGATCGTAAGTTCTTCAACATTGCATTGCATTCGTAACATTTTCCTACACATATCTCTGCCGCTATTGCACAATAGTTCATGGTAAGTTCTGAAATGATTTAGTATAGTTTGAAAGTGTCTGACTAATAATACATTTGGTATACGACTTGGAAATGCTCGATTTATTGAATTTACACATTTGAGGATTATGTGATTTCAAACTATTTAAAATCTGCAAGATACTGATTCTGAGGTTTCTAAATTTTTAGAGAAATTTGGCATGTGATTCCCATAGTTTTTTTTAAATTTTCGCAACACGTGAAGTGTTGCATAGTGAAATGAAAAAAAAAGAACAATTTGATTAAATATATTTCAAACAAATTTTAATCTTTACCGTTAATAGTACATTATAGTGTTAATTGTGTCATAAGAAGTGATGCTAATTTATTCCCTATGATTACTTTTTGCTACCATAAATAGGTAATGATTGGTGTATGTTGCTATGGTAATTAGAACTTGAATGAAATAAATTCTGCCCTCATACCTATCGATTCGTGTAATCGCATCGAAATGAATCCCAAGAGTAAATAGTTAGCATGTCGGTATTTCATGTCCATGAATGGCTTGCACTTGAAGTGATTGATGGTAATGTTTGCGCAGTTGGTGAATTGATCGAGAAACGAGGTTCGAGATTTATTTTGGGAACTTTCACGTTGAGAAGAGTAGGGAAAGATAGATGAATGAATGAAATTTCATCTATTATGCTGCGAAATTAGCTCAAACATTCGTTAAGTGAGGATGAGAAGATAAATTAACCCAAACATTTAATCAAGTTTTTTCTTTTTCTTTTTTTAAATTTAATGAAATACGAGAAGTCTAAAGGTCGAACTCATTGTGTTTAAAAGTCACAACGCGATGATTTTAGAATAAGTAAAACTACTGATTTTGATAAAACATATTGGTGTAGCTTATTTGCTCAGAAAAATCTATTATATGTTAAACTGATGTTTCTTTCCATGCTCCTCTTCTTTGAACTTTATTTGTCTTGAAAATGATTTAATCTTTGAACTTATCACTCCATGAATCACAACAGAATCAATTTTTATAATCTATCCGGCTAGCTTTGTAGACCAAATAGTGGTGGGTAGTATAACGGGTCGAATATGGATCGTCGATCCGGGTCGAACAAGCGAAACGAAGCAGCAGTTATTGAGCTGCTTGCTAGAGGAAGATTTATCTGTTGCTATATTGGACATTGCTATTGGGAACTTCATTTCCGGTTTGGAACAAAATTTGATCGCCGTATTATCGCCACAAAAACTGATAATTTATCGTCTTATTTCAGGTATTTCAAATCTAACACTTATATTCGTAATCGATAATGCTCACTTTAAAACTTTCCATACTTATGCAGATGGAGAAGTTTATCAACTGAATACCATTTATGAGCATACTATCACCGCAGCGGCATACAATATGTGCATCGGTACATTTGGTCGAGCAACTGCGGCACAAATATGTGTCCAAGACATGACATGTTCGTTGATGGTTTTCGAAGCGGAACATCAACTTTTTCATCGTCCAGTTAATTTAGTGGCCGCTCTACATCCAGGTCCAATCATCTATACATCTCATTCCGATTCCATCATTACAGCATCATCTTCCGCCATCTTAATTTCATACAGATATTCAGTTCTTGCTACAGCATCAAGTGGAAAAAGTGGGAAAAAAATTGCTGTATGTCTTCTCTTTACTTTATTTCTTTTTAAGGATTCAATTCTATCAAATATATAGTAATTCATAATTGGTTGCTACAATTATAGTTGTCGATGATTTTTTTTGTGGTCGTGACAAATATTAAGAGGGTAAATTCTGTTTTCTTGGTTCTGTTTCTTCTTGTCGATTTTTTAAGTTCCCTTTGCTTCTTACATTTGAATAATAGATTTCAAATTTGGGCAATCAAACCTCTATTCTAATAAGTTGGTTAATACAGCACCGAACTCAACGATTACAATATCAATAAATCTAATTTCTCTACTTCCTCAAATGAGAAAGCCTTAATACTATTTTAAGATTATAAGAATTAACGTCTTTGTAGAGCGCACATTGCTATAGCGCGCTTTGTTAACGCAAATGTAAAACGATGAATACATATAAAACACAACGATATCCGGTTTTCAACAAACCGGATTACTGTTCTTTTGTTTTCATTGGTGATATCATCGACAATAGTATTTATAACTTTGTTAATATTCGTTAGATTAATCGATTTTCTCATATCTCTTCTATTATTCATTCTCAGAAATATTTTTAGGCCAATTGGACGTTCAACCTTGGCGATTATCCGTTAGATTTAGAAGTGATTAATACAACACTTGTGCAACCCTCCATTTTAATCCTCTGCAAGCGAACATTGTTTTGCTTAACTCATGGTGGCAACATAAGATTTACATATCGTTTACAATGTGTTGCCACTTCACTTCTTGTTTACGATTCCAGTTAGTTTTAAATTTTAATTGCTGGTCACGCAATCATTACGATTATAAGTTTTATGAGCTTTTTTCTTCTTTTTTGTGAGATTATGAGTTTTTCATTATGAGTTTAATTAATTTGCTATTTACTTTTCTCCAAAATTTTTAATTATCAATATTTTCTATTTATTTTGATCGTTACATTAATTTATTTAATTTATTTAACTGCTTATTTAAGCTGTAATTCACCCTTCTTATCATTAAATCTTTAATTGACACTTTCAGTAATTAAATATTCAATCAAATGATATTTCATGCTTGTAAACTTATTTTGTAGCACATGACGCATATGTGAAATTATGTATTGCAACAGCTACACGTATGTTACTTTTCTTCAAAGATACGATTTTAGTCTGGGCAGCACAACTTCTACATGATACTATCCAAGTTCGTTTATGTTCATTTAGGTTAGTACCATTTTACACATAATTTCATTAGCGGTAATAGAAAGCAATAGGATGATAGTTGGAAATTTTTTTTAGTTTTTGAAGAAACTCTTTTTTCCTTTCATTTTTTTTTTCACACATACAATTTGTTGTTGTTGTTGTATTATTTAAGCTCAGTATATCGTTCAATGCTGGTGATTTTGTCAAATTCGCGAATATCTGTTAGTTATTTGGGTACTGAACCGTCGTTATTCCGTCTTCCCGCACCACAAACACGTTTCATTGATTTCCAACTACGCTATAAAGAATTTCTTGAGCTCGAAGGTTTGATACGCAAAAAACCGCTCGAATCGGTTGAAGGTGTTTTATTTTCCTAAAGATTTTTTTCTGTTAATATTTCCCAATTTTCTCTTTGCAAATAACATCATCTTTTAGACCATGCGGAGAATATATTTTTTATAAATATAAAATCTCGTCATTTCGATATAAGAATTTTTCCAAGAAGCGGGGAGAGGAAGATATTTTCAATCATCGATTGATATATTTTTACCATTTAATTTTTCTTTTGTACCTGGTATTGCTAAGATAAGAATTGTTTCTTTTTCGAAATTTATGTATTTCTTTGTTTTTTTCTGAAGTTGGAACCAGTATTCAGGAAAACATTCCAGTTAACAGGAGGAAATTTTCATCTTTTGTAGGTGTTCCATCGGAAAATTCGTTATCATTGAATTACTCATACGATGGCTTTGATTTCAAATCGGTACGATTGTCTCCTGTTCGTTTCATCATTTCCGTTTTAAGCCAGAAACTAATAGTGGCTTGATGATGAGTGTTGTAATTTGTGATATTAAGCCTCCTATCACATTTCAGATCATTATAGAGTATTTTCCGAAATATGAAGCTATAGAGTGATAGTTAAAGAGAAGATACTTTTCTATAATGAAAAAATTTAGAAATAGAAGTGGAAGAAGCAGAAAATTAAATTTTAAGTAAAATCTATAAGCGAATTTACTTTTCATCCAAATAATTATGGATTGTAATAATTCATATTTTTGCTACTCTTTAGAGGGCGGAAAAATCATCAGTGGAAATTCCATCCTTAACGCTAAATATTGAATTATTGAGTGAAATACGTTTACTTGACCTCAAACTGATATGCTCAGCAGCATTTCATATTGAACACAAATACGCATCATTTCCTGCTATTGGTTTGTCTAATCATATAAATGAACTTAATTATAATTAAGTCATTCCAATGATTCCATCAAGTTTACATAGTGGATCAGGCTAGTTACATTTAAAAAATCATTAAACCTTAAAGTATTCCAAATTCAATTTACTTCAGTTTTTTTTTTTTCACGGTTAGCAAGATATTTCTCTTATTGGTAAATTCTATTTTATTTGAATTTTGAGTAACTTTGTTCGATTTTTTAAAAAAAAACAAAAAGAAAATAGTAGTATTTTCTTTCATGAGAAAAATGGATTATAGATAGCTCACAAAAAATGTCAACTGGCGTGTATGTGTTATCTCAACCTGTTTATGATTTACGATGTAAACTTTATGCATTCTCCTCGCAGTTTGGTTTGTTTTTAATTTGAGCAATGATTAACATAATTTTTAGTATTTTGTCGCAACCTAAACCATTTACTAAAAGTTCAATACCACAACTTTAGGTATTTTCTCAAAAGCATATGGAATACTCTAAGTCAAAATTAAAAAATAACACAACACTTTATTCAAATAAAAATAACTTCACTACCTTATTAATTTCACTTTTCCCTTTTTTTCCCTTTCATCAATAATGATAAGAAAAATTTTTTTATGGAATTAATGGATGATAAAGAGAAAAAGGAGAGATAAAGCATGGAACAATTACTTTGACATTATTTTTTAATTAGTTGTTCGGTTTTGAAATTTTCAAATTTCGACATTTTTTTTCAGTTTTTTTCACGAATAATTTCATATATTGCATTCATATAATATGACTACTAATAAATGCATGCTATCTCTTTACCATTTAATGATCTATGATCAGGACCATACATTTGTTCAAATTTCATAGTTTTTGAACTTTCCTTTAAGGTGATGTGACCGGTAAGGAACTAAAAATGCCCTTAAATTTAATGTGTCATACGGTGAACACTCAACGGAATGCACAATACAAAGTAACCATTGAATCATCGCTAGCTGCTCTTGATTTAACGCAGCTATTTCCTGGTATTTATTTCAATTATTAGTATTTTCTTTTTTCCGTTTTCATAAATTTTTGATGGAATAATTAAATAAATAATTGTCAATTCCTCTAGACATTCAAATTATTTAGAAGTGTTGAATGCAAATTTGAACCATAATTACCTTTTGAATTTTAAATCATATTTTAAATCTTATACCTTGATTTATTGACTAATATTTGACAACAGGATGGCATAATGGGACTTTTTGGTAGAGAAGCTCAAAATGTAAAATAATTTTCTTTGAATTTGTCCTCTGACTAAGTTTATTGATAACTTTTGTTTTTCTTAAAATTTATTCTACCGTCCCATTCATTTAAATACTGCCCCAAAAATCCATTCAGTACTTAAATATTACCGTTCACCATAATTCAGTATAGTGATATCTTCTTATCGATTAAACCATTAAGTTATATTGGAAGCGAGCAAATAATGCCGAAGTTTTTCTTTTTTGGATAATTTCTTGAAAAGTTACCATGATTTATGATACTTTCAGAATTTGAAGCCGAAACTAGTACAGCAATTGGCTTTCAACCTTATTTATCAGAGACGGTTATTTCAATCTATGCATCCCAGAAGTACAGTGAGTAAATTTCAACTTTCTCTTGTCTCGATATTCTCTTGTCCTGAATCCATTTTCATATGTTTCCAGGAAATTTTTATGCATCGAGTCTTTGCTTGTCACTTTTAGAGCGATATCGAATTCAAGCTGAAAGCCTGGATTTCATTTATTTATTTGCCGATGAATTAATCACAAGAATACAGGCGAAACAACCGGAAGCAAAAATAAACTGCACACTTCCATTAGATCAAATTCTTCACGAAATAAATGTATATGTAGAGGTGAGTGATTTCAAAATTTCTCAAAATTATGAACTAAATTCAAAGTTGTCATAGAGAATTGGATTATCTTAACATTCCAGATGGTTGGGAATTTAATGAACTTTTATCATTTCTGTCATAGCTACCATGAAAGAGTTGTGGTATCCTATCGAAACTGCTTTGAAATTTAAAGAATTCGATGACAACATTACTTTCATTTTGTATAGTATAATTTTTTCAGCAGATCAGTTTTTCAATGCTTTTTTTTCGTTCTAGTTTTTCATTATCTTTCTTTCTTTCTTTTTATAGTATGAAAAGAGAAAAACAGAGGAAGAAAAAGAACTGGAACGGTTCTGCATTCTTTTACGTCATGTTCAAGCAACTATATTAACAAAACTAAAAGGAGAACGACCAACAGAAGTGGATCATATGAATACTCTGTTGAATTATGCATATCAACAGGTTTCCTAGTTATTTTTGAAATTTAGCGGATTGTTAGCTTCTATTTACTCTTTTTAATTTTCGATTTTTCTTCAAGGTTTCTATTCTTCAGCATTTTGTTTATTTTTTCCATTTGTTTTCGCTTTTAAGGAAAAGAAATGGAGAGAGATTATGTTACTAGGTGAGACCGATTATTTCGATTACATTATTAACAGGAATTCTTTTTTTCCGTGATTTCTTAAAGCATTTCTTATTATTTCAAACTATTTATTCTTCCTAATTGTGGAATCCAAGTTACAGATATTATGTTATGTGGATCGCCTGGAGCAGCTAAATGAAACGTTACGTTCTGCTAATTTATCGCTATCAGCGGCGCTTAACCTGATGCATTTGATTACTTCACTCAAAGGGAATCCGTTGCCTCTGGATGGTACTATTGTCAATAATTCTGGACAAGTAATACAGTACTTTATGTTTATTGCAGTATTTTATGTTTATTTGCGAGAAATTGAGAGCAAATAATGTGTTATTATTTAGTCTTATTCTTATCTTTATTTGAAATTGATAAGAGAGATTGCTTGCTAGCAGCTTTATTGATAATCAGTGCTGTCACTAGCTTTAATGAAAATTACAAATATACGAACTGGGTAATATTTGGTTTTTACATTTGTTACATTGGTTTTTTTTAAAATTAATTTTCAGTCAGTTTGGGAGCGTATCAAATGGGCAATATCAACGTTCAAACCGATTGATTTAAACACTGAATTATCATCAAACGATCTGCGATATTTAATGCAAAGTGTTTGTGAAGGTAACTGTGGTACGATGGCTTACATACATGAGGATAGCAGAGAGGAAGAAGACGATGAACCACAACAATCCGAGCCAATTGTTGATCCATTAATTTCCGGTTTATTGTCTTTTGATGAGTTTAATCATTAGCGATTGTTCATTCGATGACAAGCAATTATATGCAATTGATAAACATTTCGGCATTCCCTGTTGACGGCATTCAATTTGCATATTTTTGCGAATTAAAAAAGCTTCAAAATTTGAATTTATACATTTCACAAAGTATTAATTCTTATTTGTTTTAAATAATATCTTTGATAATACTATTTACTTTTCTCTTGTAATTCTTCAAGACAATGTTATGTAGTTTATGTCAATTCTATATTCATTATCACCATTTTTGATAATAAATATTCCCTTTTATCGAACACTTTCAAGAATACTTAAATTAAAAGTTCTAAAGTCTCAAAAAAAGAAGAATCATTTTACAAGTCAAAAAGTTGAACCATTGTTGAGTACAAGACATTATAAACCTAATAAATTGAGAGCAATATTATTTATCATCGAGAAATATCTCGAAAAGTGTATGCTGATCACTCCATCATTAATAAATTGACAAAAAAAGTACTGCCTATTAATGTAAGGTGTATTTATTAGGCCTAATAAAAAAAAAGGAAAGTTTGGATTTGCAAAGCGGAAAAGGATAGCATTTTTGGTGAGCTTATCTTTGGTGGAATAGCTTTCGTCAGATCTTGCAGTGCGTTATCATTGATGATAAGGGAGAAAAAAAAGGGGGGAAGAAATGTTATCATACTACTAATCTGATTGCGAGAATAAAGTGGAAATTGGTCAACAAATGGGCATAGTTAATGTCATTAATAATTTACCATTCACCGCTTAGACATCAATTTCCATTCGTGTATGATTTGTAAAAGTATATATTGTATTACTATTCCCATTATTATTTTCTCATTAACACTTCAATTAATACAGGTATATAGTCAACTTATTGGTCAAGGTTTGTTCTTCTTTCATTTTTTAATTTTTATAAATTATGAAAAAGGCCACAAGTTGAATTTGCTATAAGAACTGACAAAGATAAAAAAAAGAATTCGATGTGTTTGGATAAAATTTAAAATAAAGAATTTAAGTTATTGGATTTTTTTAAAAAAAAAACTATTCTATTTACACAGAATTCTTTCTTTTATTGCACAATGATTATAATTGATACTATTATCACTTCATCTTATATCATTTACTACTTTTACAAAGGATTTTTAGCAGTTGTATGTTTTATATTATTTGAAAATTTGAATTTCAGGAATACCATGTACAAATGAAGGTGCAAAAATTAACCTGGCAGATGTAACACGTGGTTTGGTCACGTCACCTTGCTATCATTGCATATGTATGGTTGGTGTTACTCATTATTTTAATTTGAATCAATTTTAACTAGTAATTTAAGCTGTCAATTTGTTTATTTACCATTCTCCATGTCACCATATCTCTTAAGAAATCTAGCTTAAAAATATTTGATATTATAGTATCCGACTACTTCCGGTCACTCCAAGTGAATGACAAAAAAAAATTGCTAAAATATACTCATTCGAAAAAAAAAAAAAAAAAGACTGATACTAATACAATATACTGATGCTATACAATATATTGTTGATAGTAATGCTAAAACTGATATAAATTATCGACCCATTTAATTAGTGTCTAGATTGAAATAAAATAATAATATAGCTAATATAGTAAGTATATAGCTAATATATAATATATTAATATAGTGTAGCTAATATAATAAGCTACTTTCCGGAAATGAATAATCGGTAATGCCTGATATCATCACCGGGAAATTCGCTGTTTTATTGATCAGATTGGGCAGTCTCAATAATTTTGTTGATTATACTATATTAAGATGATTCTTTTTCAAAAAATTTCAAACAGTTATCAAATTTGATCAGTGCTTTATGAATTTAAGTCTTTACAAACTACTACCGACGTCATTATTTGAACACCATCTAGGTCTTGATAGATTTTACTGAAGTCTTTATTATGCTATCATTCAAATCATTGTAAGTTACTATTATAGAGTATTATTTACTAGGTCGTTATTAATTACAGAGCTCTATTCAAGTCCTTCATTCAGGTCATTATAGAGTATCTATCATTCGGATAATTTCAACTGTTTTCAGAATAGTGTCATAACATGTGTATTAGAGAAATGTGAATCACTGAAGAATTGTCCTACAGTATGGGATCGTAATAATAACACTTGCTGTATGAAATGTTTGGATTGTATTCATATGGGTATCAAACGAAACAATAATCAAATTTGGACAAGTGCGCAAGATATATGCACGCAAATCTCATGCAAAGTTATTCTTTTTTCTTTTTCATTGAAATTTAAGTATTAATTGAAATTTATATTCCAAGAAATTGATTTAATCCTTTATTATAAAATGATGTCTCCTTCATTCCCTTCGCTTTTTCATTTTATTTTTTTTTTTATAATTAATTGTCACTGTTGATGATAATAATAATGATAATTTCCAACTAATTGTCATTAATTACTATTGCTATTATCTTCTACTAATCATCATTTCACATCATTTATATTAGCATGATCACTCTTTTTTTTTTTTGCATTAGAATTTTTTCAAGTAAAAAATAAATGATAAATATGGTTAGGCTGGTGTTATAACAAGTTGGCGGATCCAATGTCTAACAAATTGCTCAAATGGACGTTTATTGGCTGGATTTTGTTGTGGATTATGCTTAACGCCAATAAAAGTCCAGGATCAATGTGTTCGATGTGATCTGGTATTAAATCAATGGTACCATTGTTATCGTTTTACTTGTCCAGTACTGAATTGTCCAATATCTCAACATACGAAACATCCGAAGAGGTATTTCAGAAATTTACCACATTTATTTATCAAAATTTTGCTTCGCAATCGTATGGTAAATTAAATAATTTTAGCTGATAATATGCTATCAGTGGATTATCACGATGCGTTATTCACAGTTCATTTATCTCATCTATAGATATAGATAATCATATCAGTTATTGTAGTTTTCAGATGTTGTCCGGAATGCAAAAGTCATAGTGTTATTTCGGAAAGCTCAAATCTAACAGTATCAAATGGTTCGCATTGCTTCTTTCGTGGATGGCGTTATATAGTGCACGATACATTCCGTATAGATCCATGCTCACGTTGCTCTTGTCAACCAGGTGGCATTGTCTGTAGAAGGTCCTATTTTATCTGAATTTCTTTCAATCGAACACCTTCAGTCATATTCAGTGCTTTCCGAGATTTTTTATCACCATTCAAATATTACTTTCCCTAACGTATTTCACGTTAATATTACTTTCCCTAACGTATTTCACGTTACCCTACTTTTTCACGCTTTCAGATTCGTTTGTCCACTCAAAGAATGTGATATATCGCATATGTTTTACAAACCCAATGTTTGTTGTCCCTTTTGCTATAGGAAAGAAAATCCGTGCAAAAAAACTGAAATCAATGGAAGTGAAACGATAGTAGAGGTAGGTTATCCAGTATGGTAGAGGTAGGTTATCCAGTATGGTAGAGGTAGATTATCCAGTATGGTAGAGGTAGGTTATCCAGTATGGTAGAGGTAGATTATCCAGTATGGTAGAGGTAGGTTATCCAGTATGGTAGAGGTAAATTATCCAGTATGGTAGAGGTAG